GTGTTCGGCTCATTAGGCTTAACGAACGAGCCGAAAACGAGCTGTTCACGGACAACGAGCCAAATTGACAGCCCTATCCGCAGGTAGAGTTATGTGCGGAGTCCAATGAAATTATGCCGTGGAGTTGATCGACCTAATAACACAATGGAATATTCCCCTCGTGTTATTCCGTGTTATTCAGACATTATTATGTTCTGGAAATATACCCGATGTTATAATAATATAATAACACATCAATAATACTTGAATAACACACAATAATGTCTGAATAACACGGGAAGAATATTCCCTTATTTTTTTTTTAATTTCATTCGACTCTGCACGTAACTCTATGTGCGGAGTCCTAATGTAATATTTTTTTCGTTTAAATGCCCACAATATAATCATAATTTTTAAACATTTCAATCGGGCTTGCATAATTGATAAAGGGAAAATGAAGCAAATGTCTTATTATTTTCTTAAATTTCCTTGCAAAACATAACATTCTAGCAAAAATTATGTTTATGTGTGCAATAAATATATAATTTAACTCATAATTTAAACAAAAGTAAATAAATAATTACATTAATCCCACACAACTATAACTTGCATGACATGATTATTCCTCGATGGTTCAATATCATGTATTAATGACCCAATAATTACATAATTATCATTAATTAATCTAGAAATATTAGGACATGATTATATCATATAGCTTTCTTCCTCTGCAAGATTCAAAACATGGATTTTCCGTTTAAGTGGGATGGAAAACAAACACTTTTGACTAATTATTTTTAAATTAGCTTTAATTTGTGTAATACGATACTAATCTGTTGTAGATTCAACGCATCGGTTGGAGGGACAGCGATATGATATCCGGAGAAGATATGTATTGACCTCCTTGGGTTGACTAATTTAATTCAAATATTGCACAATTTAATTGAATTAGTAAATAGATATCCTTCTCGTGGATAAAATAAAAGAAAAAGTCCACAAAAAATTTGAATTATGGAGGTCTACATTATAGTCTAAAGGCCTTCATTTAAGTAGAACTAAAATTGAATACATGGAATGTAATTTTAGTAGTAGTAGCTCT